GGGGAGGGAGGGAGGTCGCCAAAATTAATTGTTCCGGAAAAAAAAAATTTCGGCACTGGTCGGGCACAATCCGAAAAAGTCGGGCAAATTTCTTTCCGTTCCCCTAATTTTTTCCTTCCGGTACGCCCATGTCTAGGACACCACGTCGTCACACAAAGCGGATAGAACTTCGCTTGACAAGTTGACATATAATTAACTAAGATTCCCAATTATACGCCACGCCTCCAAAAACTTCTTATGCTAGGAGCGGACATCTCATTTGGCAACCGTCTAATATCCTATATTTACGCAGATTTCAATAAAAACTGCCGAAACAACCGAAATATTTCAATATTTACAAGTATAAGCTATCACTCCATGTTTACACGGCCGCCATTTTTATTTTTCCAGCATCAGTCAGCAATATGACACCTTACTTCCCATCCCCCCTGCACGCATAAACTAAAAGCTGGAATTGCCTATTGGTTAAAAGGCAGACATTTGCTAATTAATTGCTCATCCAATTTTTAATAATCAATTTGTCCTTTGCTTGTGAAATGGTCATTAGTCCTACACATTTTCGTGTCAGCATGTTTAATTGTTTTATAGTTATCTTGCTAACACACTCGCCCAGTCAAACATAATCTCCTGGCAAAGATGCCCATAATAAAACATGGCCTCTCGGCTATAGTATAATTACAAACACATGTGCATTTTCCAATTAATTTGCTGTCAGAACATTTAATGACAATTTGCAACGCACATTTGAAATTCCGTCAATCAAGTCAGAGCTAGTTATATGTGATTGGCTGATTAAATTGCTGTTAATTGAATAAAATTCGCTTTATTTTTGACTGGCTAGTTGACAATAGGTATTAATTAAGCTCGTTATACATTAAACTGCCCTATATATATATGTTGTTGAATTCGAGTCCATAATGACGACAGAGCCATTGTTATATATACATGAGCAGTTCACTACTGTCGCGATCTCAGTGTACATAGAAAAATACTAGCTTAAACTAGTGTAAAAATGCTTCTCAAGCAGATAAAACCAAATGTTTCACCGATTTTTGGATTCTTTATTTTGCTTAGTTTATCGAATGAAGAAATCATTACAGCAACAGAGGCTGCAGGTAAAAGTTTAATAAATATATACAATGAATTTTGCAATTCGCAAAAAATGTTAAGTTTCAAGGCATGCAGTGTCTAAGATGCGATGCATGTACTACTTCAGCTCCGTAAACGAGACGGGCAATTCTTTCCTGCTCGTGTACAAACAAAACGGAAATTCCCCCTGCCTACAAGAAATAATTGGGCGTGTGGGCTAGGCGAAGTAGTTGTAGTTCGCTACTGTAGCGAACTACAATTTTCAAGTAGCCAGCAGTTTTTGACTACTTTTTTAAAACAGTAGTTGTAGTTATAGCGAACTACATTTTGCCTAAAAGTAGCCAAGTAGTTGACTATTTTTCAAACAGCGAATCGCTATTCGCTACTTTTTAAAATTGTTAGCAACTTGATAGAATAGCATGATATTGAGACACGGTTTGTTTAAAATCAATACTCAATTGCACTCCTGAACACTGTAGTGCTTACAAAAATGTTGCTTTGTGTTTACTGTTGCGACTCGTAAGTCGATTTGTTATAGATTACATTACTGTCTGAGTTAGTAGATGCTCCAAATATAGTAAAACTAAAAAATATAGTGTAGCGAAATAGCGAAATAGTTCGCTACATTTTTTAAGCAGTAGCTGTAGTCAGTAGCAAACTACCTTTGTTCAAAAGTAGCAGTAGTTGTAGCTGACTACATATTTTTGAAGTAGCTGTAGTTATAGCGAACTACAAAAATTTTGTAGTCAACCCACCCTTGATATTTTCAAGTGTACGAGGTTAAATAAAATAGTCGCTTATTATATATAGTGAGGTTGGTTCAATATATATATATATATATATATATATATATATATATATATATATATATATATATATATATATATATATATATATATATATATATATATATATATATATACAGTTAATTAAAAAATGGTTGTCCGTTGCAACCCTTAAACTCTAAATCTTAAACTCTAAGCGTGCAAAGCTTAATGGGAGCGTCATTTAAGGTTACAGAACACCTTTGAGTGTTAATTTTGTCTAAAATTTTTTTATTGGTTTCCATGAAAGCATTAGACTAATTCTACTATCTGACCAAGTTTGAACGAAAAATGTTGAAAACACGCGGAGTTATTTAATAAAATACATTTCGCTGCAGTAAGAAAAGCAATGAAAATGTAATATTCAAATTCAATTTTCTCCCGAAAATGTTTACGGCCAATTACTGATTTTCAAACGAGTTGTGCTCCTGCGGGTTTTAACCAATTTTTCTCAAATTTTCACAGGACATAGCTCAAGACGTCAGTTTCAAAATTGTGTTCGGCTTTTTTTTAATTTTGGATATTTTAAAAATAAAGAGCAATTCACTCAAACAATTCAGAAATATATTGCAGTCGTCAAAGAAATCGCCATATCAGCGGAATGACGAAATAAACAAAAATTTGCGAACACAATTTTTTAGAACAACTATTTTACTGTATAAAAATGATATTTTCATAAATATAACTTAAAACCAGCAGGAGCACAACTCAAAAGCGTAACGGCACCGCGATTTAAGATTTTCCTGAATAATTCTTACATTATTTTATTGTTTGTTAATTTTACAACTTTACCATATTTTGCATGCACTGAAGAACATTTGGTGAAAATTTGATGAAAATCGGACTGATATTGAGCGCGCAGTAGCGATTTTCCGCAAAACGCCGAAAAAGGTGTCCTGTAACCTTAAGAAAATGTCAAACCCCGCCATAAACTTTACCATCTTCTCCCAATGAAGGTTTCTCAATTAAGAGAGAGGGAAATTAAACGAGGACAAACGGCTTAGAATATTATAATTATGCGTGCAGAACTAAACGATTTAGTCAGAGTCCTATCATTTATGCAATAAATAAGTACAATTTAACTCTTCATTACTCTTAGCTTAGCTAACTCTTAGTTTCGAAAATCTTACCAATCTTCCATGGGTTTTTTATAGTATAAGATAATAATAAATAGTTCTTATTCATTCTTAATTAATCAATTTTTAAAAACAGTAAAAACTCTATTTGTAGCACATTGTAATTTAGCTTAGCTATTTAATGTTAAATTTTACTTGGGAGAATTTTATTTTCAGGCCATTTTCCGTAATTAGTTTTTCTCTAAGGCAGCTGTTTTACATCTAATAAACAATGACAGCCTTTATTAACAGCCGGTACTAATTAATATACCTTACCTAAAAAAGGTTAATTTGAATTTTATTAAATTCTGCGGCATTCGGTGGAATCTACATAAGTTACCGCTATTTTTTAAATTCTGTTTTTTAGATGAAAGGATGTGCGATGTTACTCGGCTCACGGAATTTAAAGGCAAGACACTTTGCGAGATTTTAAGTAGACTGCTTGCCCACAATTTAATCTAGATTTTAAGATTTTAAGGCGCGATCGTTATTTATGGTGGGAGTAGTACCGAAGAGAAAGGGGTTGTGTAAACAAAATTATGAGCGAGTAAAAGGTTGGGTAAATGGAAAAAAAGCAACTCTAGGGGTTGGGTAATAAAAATGTATTGCCATTTCCCAAGCGCGACTCACTCAGATATTGAAAACTAAAAAGCAATGTCAACAGTCATATGTCAACACAATATGTAAATCAATCAGAGTCACTATCTTGATCATTTTCCGATTTGTCAAGAGGCAAATGGTGTCTCCAAAGAAACTACATGTGCAGACAACATTAAACTTTAGACTGTAGAAAGCACATGCAAGCAGTTATCAAACTCATGTCACAGAAGTGGTAAAGGACATGTGTGACAATTGAACGGCATCCTTTTGTATAAGATTTTAGGCAAGGGGTGGCTTATTTTTTAATTTGTATGCGGTTGGGTAAAAATATTTTTGACTTTTTATTGGTTGGATGGGCAAAATTTTTACCAAGAAAAACATATCGCTAAAATTAGGAAGCACTTTATTAGCTTTTTAATTTTTTTCGAACTTCTGACTTTTGAAATTTAGGTAAACGACTTAACATGAATTTTGAGATTGAGACGTATTGTGACATGGGCAAGGTGGAATGTTTCTTTAAGTGTTTAAATACTACAAGATGTCGATCTTTCGCTGTCGGAGTGGAAAAAAATTGCACCGGAACGTTTTGTTTTCTCTATTCACGGTCACAGATCAATCGTTTTATGGAAGACAACAACGCGACATATTACTTTATGGTACGATATTTTGATAAAATTGTTTAGGTTTGTGGTATTTTTCTCGAATTGTTAATGCCGTGGTAGGTTTGTGGGTATGTAGGTAAGTAAGTACAGGGTAGGTGGGCAGGCAGGGTGGTATGTGGGGGATATGTAGAGTAAAGACTCCTAGCCCTAATCATTTCTTTTACTGTAATATGTAAATAGTTGTTTTGTTAAACAAATTATGGGCAAAATTAAAATAATAATAAGTATTAAGGTACGTATAATTATGGCAAGGAAATAGCTATGTAGGAAAATCTGTGTATAGGTAGATAACAATAAAGTAGATGTATATAGGAAGGTAGTTATATGTAGACAATTGACCTTGGAAGTTCTGACGTCACGTCGCTGTCAAACAATGAATACTTTGACCCACACGTATGCCATCAAAACATTAGGTATACGCAATGCAATGTGGATTGGAAATTGCGTGACGTAAGTGCGCACTCTTAAGGGGCGACTAACCACTAATACAATTTTTGGTATGTGCAATATTGACTTGGGTCATTCGAAGAAGGAATGTAATATATCTTTATAATAAAAAATCCCATCTTGATCAACTTTTTCACTGTCAAAGTTTCCGGATATGATGTCATTAGGTGAGTTGCAAATTATTTTCCCTTTGTTTTTTGTATAAAAAATTCACCTAATGACATCCTATCTGGAAATTTGACAGTGAAAAAGTTGATCAAGATGATGTTTTTTACTATAAAGATACATTACATTTCTTCTCAGAATGACCCAAATATTACACATACCAAAAATTATATTTGGGGTTAGTCGCACTTTAAGGATTATTAAGTGGGTCCCAAAAGAATGACGAGCTTCTTTCTTTCCCAAGGCTACTTCATGTTGCAGTGGCACGTGTTTGAATGGAGGATTATGTCGAAGTAAATCTTGTACATGCGCTTGCGCAAAAGACTTCACATCAACAAATTGTATTTGTCATACAAGTAAGTATATGGATTTGTTTTTAGCTTTTCCTTCAAAGTCATTAATCAGGCGTCGAACGAGATACACACGTAAAACGTGGAAGATGTTACAGATCTGCAGACAAGTTGTAACAAGGCTGTTGTCAAGCCGATATCAGGATGTGTTCGCACTGCTTGTTCCCAGTTGTTGTGATAAGTTTGGGACAAGTTGTCATCACCTTGTTACAAGGTTGATGACGGTAACAGACATTCGACAAATTGTTCCAACAAGACTAATACAGGCTGTTCGTAACAAGTTGCTACGAACTTGTTGTCATCGACTTGTTAAAAACTTGTTACGTGCAGACGATATCAGACTTGTTGGAACATGCATACTTGTTGCGGGGTTTGCCTCATCAACGTACCTTGCAACAAGATGATAACAACTTGTTCCAGACTTGTCAACAATTGTATGGGAACAAGCAGTGCGATCACATCTTGCTGACAGAGATTTTTACGCATGTATTCAAAATTATATACAGGAGTTGTGGTTAATTCTCGTCAACTGGACTCAGTGATCGCAGGTACGCAGATAAAAAAATCTTGTCATAAGGCCTAAAGTTGCATTTTTCGCAGCTGATACCAGTCATGTCTAAAATTGTATTTCAAACATCATTAATAATTCATAACCGTATTGGCAAATCATGTCAACCATAATATGTCACGTGCAATGGCTTTACCTGATATAACACCCCTAATCAGTATTCTTTATATAAAGAATACTAATAAGGCAGCATATCTATTGAATTTGTGGTCGTGTTTGTCTGTTTGAAGCCGTTTAACACTCCTGCTCGTTTATTAAACAGTACATAAATTTTCGTTTGTAATTTCCATTTACAAAACATCACAATAATTAATAGATGCAAAATTCCCTCGGTAAGCATGTTCTGCTATTGGAACAAATGTAAAGTTTATATAAGCCGTCGTCTTTTAAGAAGCAATGAATCATAAAGGAAAGTCCTTATGGAGAACAGTTTAGAACTGATAGGGTAAAAATAGAAATAAAGTGGATCCTAGGTTTAGCTCAATTTAATTATTTTGTGTCCACACAGATAACGTAACGCGACAATTCTCCCATGAATGGAAGGCTGTCAACGAGATTACGATCACCCAAATTGACAGTGGCGGTGGGCAAACATGGGCCACGAGAATCGACAATGGGCACATTTTTGCATTACAAAATGGCGCTTGGATACAAATAGACGGCCTGTTAACTCATGTTACAGTTGGAAAATCGGGCGTTTGGGGAGTAAACCAAGGCGATGACATTTTCTTCAGGCAAGGTGCGACACCAGGCGCACCATATGGAATAGGATGGCGAAAGCTGGATGGTTTATTGAAGCAGATTGACGCTGGTAGCTCCGGAATTGTTTATGGAGTGGATAGGTATTTATTTTTTTAACTTTTATTTACGACAAAAAACCAAACGTTTTGTCACCAACAACCATCTGTCATCTTTCAACACTCAGTATCGTATGGTCCCTTTTTGTGTATCATGCATGCTATAGTCACACATTGTTACGGGAGACATTTCAAACTCTACTACATTAACAAAATAAAGGTTTGATGAGTGTTCCAACCGCTATATTATAACTTAAATAGAATAAATGATAAGTGTTGTGAAAGTATCAAGAACAGCTAACCAAGGTCGTGTGACTGCCAACTCTCATGCACTCTCATCCTCGTTTGATCCCGGCTTTAATAACAATAATTTTACCACCATATGCGGCAAATTTACAGAGCTGTAATTTGCAGCAGCAAAATGATGAAATTCTCCCCTACCCCAATACTTTTCGAAGTGTTCGACGCTGTCTTGGTTAAAGGCCCTGTTACACGGTGCAATTTTTCATGCAACTTGTCTCGCAATGTTTAAAAAAAAGATTTTGATAATGCATTGCAAGAGGTGTTACACGCTGCAATGATATTCATGCAACTCGCAACGATACGGGACAGAGGCATGCGAAGAGAATAGGGAGAGGCGCAATTTGGCGCCAAATTTTAATTAAAGTAAAGCGTGTACTGGGGAGAGCCAATAGGAACTCTCCAAGCATTAAACATTGCGAGACAAGTTGCACGAAGCCATGTTACACGCTGCAATGCTAAAAATAATTAGTGCAATCGTTGCCAAAAGTAGAACCGACTTCTACTCTCTGCAATGCTTCATGCAACTTGTCTCGCAACGATTTTGACCATTGCAA